TTTCTGAGTAAATACATTTGTATGAATGGGTTGAACATTTACTTTTTGTTTGGGTATATTTCATATGTTTTTCCAAATAATCTGAGACATATGACCAGTTTTTGTGTGTATTTCAATATATAGCCTTATTCTGAATCTCTTTCTACTCCTCTTGTTGGTACTGGTTCTATCAGTTAACATTGTTTGTTTTTAACCTTTTAACCTTTCTTTAGACACCAGAATCTATTTTATTCACCTGCATACAAATGCTTATGTCTCACATTTATTGTACTGTTTTGGCATTTATTGTACTGTTTATAATTTATTCTGATAAATTTCTTGGTATGATAAGAATTGAGATTGTTCGTTGTCACAATAAATTCTAATTAATGATGTTTGAAACCCCACAAAAATATCCGTATTGTCAGGGTTATTTTTTTACTTTTTCTTCTTCCTCTGTTACTCTCATCCATCCATTCTGCCATGACTAGAGAATTTTGGATTTTTATATTTAAAATTAAGCCTGAAGGATTATATATACAGTAGAATGTAGAGCATTGAACTGTGCTGGAAAACCTAAAAACACAGTTTTGTGGTCTAGTGTTTAGCATTATAGTTTTAGCCTGATACATAGAAGTCTGCTTAACAATCAAACAGTTTACACTGAAATGCATAGCACTATTTGTAGTAGCCCAGAACACCTGTAGGTTATTGAGGAACCACTTTAGACTATTACTTAATGTTGCTTCTGCAAAGAAAATGTAAAACTTTTTTCTGTCTATGTTCCAGGTTCGATTGGTGTTGTCGCCCTGCTAAAAGTACATTGCCCCTGGAGTGTTTTAGCCGCTTCTCTGGGGTGCTTTTCACCAACGACAAATTCCGGGTCAATGCCAGCAAACAGAAGTTTATGGACTTGGAGCTGAAACTGAGGCACAAGGATACCCTCTTCACCCCGGTTTTTAACGTTCAGGTGATGATTCAGTGTTTTAAGTCAAGTTTACATGTATAGCACATTTTAGCAACAAGGATTTTCAAAGTGCTGTAATGTAAAACAATAAACATTGCACTAGAGTGCAAAATAAGAAAAATAATAAAAACTTCCAATTCAGACAAAAATTAATCTACGTTCACTAGATACTAATCTAAGGTAACTAACATAGCCAACATAGCTCTGTATAAATTGTGCTTCTTTTGTGAATCTACAAAGTGCTTTTACTGGTACAAATATAGTGTAGAAAAAAAAAATAAATGAATTATATATATATATATAGTGAAATGCAAATAGTGCATCTCTTTTCTGGTTTTTACTGTGAATTTTACAGAAAGCCTCAAAAAATAAAAACATCCAGAAAGATTTCATCCAGTGGCTTGAAAAATGTCACAGTCAGTTTGATAAGCAAGTAAAGTTCCTTGGCTATTCAAAGACTGTGACACGAACTGATGTGCCCACTAAGAAGATGCAGCATCCCTGGGCGGTGTATTCCGCTATTGAGTTGGATGGCAAAATATACAAAGCAGGGGATCTTGTAAGTGTTTTAATATTATTATTTAGGTGTAGATATTTCACAGTAGATATTCAGATAGATAGATATACTATATTCAGACTTTTTTCTCATTGTTTGATGCTATATCAAATACTTTTTCTATTTTAGGTGAGTGAATTAGGATTGAAAAAATTGTTTGTATATGCTTAATGCCAGAATAAAAGCGATAAAGTTTTATTACTTTATTTATTGAAATGTGCATACACTTAGATCAAACACACTGCTTTTGTGCTGGATCATAAGAAATCAAAAGCAAGTCTGATTCCTCTTTGGGTACAATTTCCAGATGCTTGAAGGTGCCTCTATTATCATTTATATTAGAAATATGCAAGTTTACACTTCACTGGAATTTAAAGCCATCATATTGTCAATTTTGTGTTCTAAAATCAGTAGAACGAAATGTGTACGTTAGCCTTAGAAACAAATAAAAAAGAGCTTGTAAAAATTCTGGTAAGAGGGAATATCTACAGTGAAAGAAATCCTGTACAGACATGGCCTGTACAGGATTTCTGATTTGATTATAATTTGCAACTACACACAGAGAATAAAGACCTTTTCTTCCACAGACATGGCTTGTATTTGTATACAGGCGGAAACATAGTTTTGTGGGGGGGTTTTACTAAAGGAAGGACAGAGGGGCTTCATAAAATAGATAGCAGTATGGGGAAAGAGGAAATCAATCAATCCTTATTCCAGACACAAAAAGGTCCGTAGTAAAAAGAGAACAAAAAAACATGACATATTCACTGAGTCACAAATAAATGATGACACCAATGATTCCACAATCTTGAGAGAAATCTCACTGTATTTAAAACAGGATTTACTAAAATTGCAATTATATTATTGCATGACACAGATAATCTACACATGCATTTATACATGAGATTCCTGAGCACAGCTGCACATGTGGGAACAGCATTATATACAAACATATGGCTAGCACTACTCCATCTAGGCACTCTGAGTAGTAGCCTCATGGCATCATTGTATGCCACATAAAGTTTCTGCAGGCTACTTTTTTTGTATCTTCGCCACAGATGGGCTGTGTAAAGTGAAGTACAAAAAGCTTTAAAAAGAGCAATCTTCACAGAGGATGAACACATACCAAACCCTCTGATCAGAATATTAGCTTGTGCATTCATCATATGATACTGCCTCTGGATGTCACGATCATCAGACAGGTCATCAGATATTTAAATATTTAATTTCATTGCATATATTGAGGACATTGCCAGATAAAGAGAAGTCAGGGGTTATCAGATACTTATCTGCCCTACTTCTAACAATCATAATATTGCTTTTCTTACCATTATATTTGATGTCAAAGTCATAACCATACTGGGAACAGACCCTTAGTAGTTGTTGAAGGCCAGCACTATATGGGCATAAGATTACCAAATCATCTGCATACATTATGTGATTGATTATGCGGTCACCAACTACACAGCCTGTTTTACAACAATTCAGACGCTTTGATAGTTCATCCATGTAGATGTTAAAAAGGTAAGGGGACAGTAAACTTCCCTGCCTTACTCCATTACCAACATTAAATGAATCACACATTGTATTACCCCATTTGACATACAGTACATCAATTGATGACCATACCAGTAGACAAGTATTCTAATTAGATATTTGGATACACCTCTGGTTTCTAACTTGCAGAATAGTTTTTGGTGATTCACACGATCAAATGCTTTGGAAGCATCAATAAAACACATAAATACTGTAGTGTTGTGCAAATTATACAAGTCTAAAATCTCCTGTAGGGCAAATATACACATCTGTGCCATGTTTGTGTTTAAAACCGAATTGATTATCGGAGGTCAAGACAAACTCTTCTAGCCTATTTAAAGGATTCTTTCTAAAACTTTCGACACACTACTAGCTAAAGCTATGGGTCGATAATTCTCCATAGAGCTAATCTTACCCGCTTTGTCTTTAATAATGGGTACCAGAATGACAGATAACATTGAATTAGGTAACAGACCATGCACTAGATAGCCAGTGAAACACATAGAAAGTAATGCACAGAGTTTCTTGCTTGGATTTTTCAAATGCTCAGTGGAAATGTTATCCATCCCACAGGCCTTGTTGTCTTTCAGAGTCATAATTGCATGATATATAGGAAAATCTGACACTACTGAATTAATGCTTTATGACACGAGTCAGGAAGTTAAAGCTCGGAAGTTCGGACACACATGCGACTTCATGGACAGACTTATATACATATATATAACATTAAGGATAATAGGCTCAATGTTTTACACACAGTCTTACACACCAGTTCTGTTAGGATGAATTGGACAAAATTCCAAACTATTGTGAGAAAAAGAACTGTTTAAGGTTTTTATAATAAGGAAAATTGAAAATAAAATGTTGAAATTATTCATCAGTATTTTTTCATTTAGCAAAGCAAGATAATTTTGATAACCCTAACTGACCTAAGAAATGAAAAAAATTGTCAGATTTATTGTCAGACAGTGAGAATAATTTTTTCTTAAATCTATATAAATTCATGTTTTCCACTGTAGGCTTCTACATTTAATATCTGTCATGTTTTAACTCAGGTGAAATCTCAGAGAACTCAGCCAACTTATTACGGCAAAGTGAATAAATTTTTCCTGTATGGAGACCATGAAGGAAATGTTTTTGCCACCGGCGGAGAAGTGGAAATCACACGTGTAAGTAAAAAAATTATGCAGTTTGAAAAAGCTAAATGACAGCTGTGAACTATCTGTCAAATAAAAACAAAGAAATATTTTGCTCAAGTGAAATTTTTGCTTAATAAAGTTGCACTTTTCCAGTTTAGGTTTATAAGCTGGTGTGCATTGGGTACATATGATCTGGACCTTTTAATGTCGAGATGTTCTTCATGTTATTTTTATGTTGTAGAGTTTTGTTACTGACTAAATTAGAACATTTTTAAATTTAGATAAATGATTTGTGCAGAAAATTGGATGTATCCTGTGACCCCTCAAGTTTATTCTCATAAATGCATTTATGTTTTAAATACATTTTAATTTAGAAACTAATTTGAGTCAATTTGTTTCATAGTGATGCAAATATTTTTTTGCTAAATATTTTATATTTTTTTGCTTTCTTCAATGTTGTGATTTTTCATGTTTCATGTTATATTGTGCTAAAATAAATATATAGTATGAAGGAAAGTGATAGCTTTACATTGCAATTAAAAAAATTTAAATTTTAAAATTATTTTAACATTTAACATTTTAACATAATACAAAATTATTTTATTCTAACATGATCAGATTTATATCACATTTTTCTTAGATGCCAGAGGGGCTTTATGACAATTACACCAGGACTATACCCATCTCCAAGATTGACCGGTCTGCTACAATTGGAAGCATTAAGAGAAACATCGAGACCGACATTGACAAGTAAGTTAATTCTTGTGGAAAGTCAAAATGTTTTACAATTTCTCTTGATTAGTGTAAAGAATATGCAATAAATTATAAGTCTAATATTATTAAGAATATAATAAATGTTTGCAGAGAAACATGAAATAGGCCTATACAAATTTAATTATACCCAGACTCATCTTTTATTTGAAATTTTTCTTGAATCTTACATTGTACTCTTTTTTTTTTTTTTTTTCTAAATCAGTAGTCTTGAAATGTGACCGGGATCATCGCTTTGTTTCCAGGTTGCCAGAAAAGCTGTGCGTCACGTGGCCTGAAGGGAATGCTTTGCCACAACATGCCGTTATTCCTGCTGGGACTCCTTTAGGTAACGTGTTGTTGCTTTCACTTTTTCCCATTGTACTGTGAATTTCTATTGCGCCAACTCATATCAAAATCTTGAACTCGAATATTATTTTCTTTAAGAAATCAAGCTAACAGTCATTCTGTGTTGCATCGTTTCAGGGCCCTTAGCTGTGGAAATTCTTAACAGAAATGACAAATCGATCTCATCCAGGATTCAAACAGGGTTTCAAGGTGGAGGGATAAAACTGAATGTTGGACTCAAAATATTCTTTCAGGGTAAGATCAGATGTATCATAGTCATATGATTGGTGTTATGTAAGATTTTATGTCAAGCTTATCATT